GACAGGCTTTTTGCTGTCCTCCTAGAAATTGCTAGTGGATCTGTTCCTGGAGTTTCTGTTGAGGAGTACGAAGAGGATAACAAGAACTGGAAGAAGCATGTGAACGCTTATAAGAAAATCAATAGACTACTTGATACAGGCAGATATCGCAATATTATGGATATGAATGCAGGATTGGGAGGATTTGCTGCGATACTCACCTCACCAAAATTGTGGGTTATGAATGTTGTGCCCACTATAGCTGAGCAAAAGACATTGGGAGTCATATACGAGCGAGGGTTGATTGGCATATATCATGACTGGTATAGCTTCCATAGCCATTTCCATGCTTTTTGATAGTTTCTGTCATTTTAAATCACTGACTGAAGAATGCCAAGTATGACATTGCAATTTACAAGTACTTCATAAATTAATTGTGACGTTCAAAAGTACTTTACGAATCTGATAGTAACTTGACTGTTGATATCTATTTGATGCACATTAAAGTGGGCATCATCAGAGAGTAAATGAATTTATATTTTTATGAATTTTTGGTACTGAAATCATCTTTAGAGCATCCTATTTTTATTGTATATATCATGTGTATATGTGAAGACTGCAGACTTGATGTTAATTTTCACAGCGTCATGCCTGGCCTGCTTTCTTTCAATGGCAAACGATAGTGAATCTTGTTTCTGCTTTCTTTCTCAGGTGTGAGGGTTTCTCCACATACCCAAGGACATACGACCTTATCCACGCCAATGGTGTTTTCAGTTTATACAAGGACAAGTAAGTACACCTCTGTTAAGTGGATTTTAATGAAGTCCTTTTCTTTCTAAGACTCTCAGCTGTATTGTGCATTATCTACACTGTTTCATTGCTCTTGTTCAAGTTCAGGAGATTTATTGTGAAGTCCATTTCCATTTGTTTGTTGTGGACAAAAATTGAACTTTTTGATATAGTTTTCTTAGTTGTCCAAGCATTAATGCCACCAAGATTTTTGAGTCATGTGGCCATCAATGCGTGCATGATCCAGCGGAATATAATTTTGCTGAATCTCTGGTTTCTGATTGATCTCCTGGATCATTTGTCTATGAATGTGAACTGCACCTGCCGTATTGTTTCCTGTGTGATACCAGGCCAATGGTGTTTTACGACGACCTGGTTTTAAATAATATATGTTCTTTTTTCTTTCCAAATTATAACTTTTTTTATGTACTTATTGAATCAAAACAGGTGTAATGCGGAGGATATTCTTTTGGAGATGGATCGGATTCTACGTCCAGAAGGTGCAGTTATATTCCGGGATGAGGTTGACGCGTTAATGAAGGTGAAGAAGATTGTTGCAGGAATGAGGTGGGATACTAAAATGGTGGATCACGAGGATGGTCCTCTAGTTCCCGAGAAGATTTTGGTTGCTGTCAAGCAATACTGGGTTGGAAACGCAACATCAGCGAAGTGAAGATGAGGTAGAAAGGGTCAAAACCCTCAGTGATTCGGAGCTGGCTTCTCTCTGCTTGGGAATCCTGACCTAAATTTTGTATCAGCAGGAGGATATATTTGCTCCATGAGTTCTTCAACAGAGGGGGGGTGGTTCAGAGGAACAACAGTTTATGTTTAACAAACCAATTTTTTATGGGCTCATGTTCTGTGGTAGTGTTTTACAGTGGATAAGAGCTGTAAAACTTACTACCCTCCTGTTAAAAGGCTAATATTATTATTATATCATCATTCAATTTTTTTTTGCCCTCTTTAGTTTTTTGTTGCATGTTATGTCCTCCAATACTCATCCAAATACTGCCTCAAGAGCTACTATTCAATTTTGTATTTGATGAGTGCTAGGTATCTTAAATTGGTTCCTGTATCCTTGCTTTTTCTTTATATATATAAATATATACTTACATTTATATATAAGCACACACCCACATGAAGAACGCATTTGCACTTATTATAATGAGATGTTAAGTGACAATAGGTTGTAATGTTAAATTTATATGTGTATGCTTTCAAAGTTAACTAACAGAAAGAGTGAAAGTGCACTCATTATGTTCCTTTATTCATTCACCATTCTTTTCGTACTTGTTCAGAACAAAACAACCTCTGCAGTCTTGGCTTAGAATATGAAGGAAGACCTAAGACTGCATGAAAGCAAATATCAGCAGCTAGAGATGAGGAGGCTCCTCTCAACACCTCACTAACATATGTGGAGGGTTTTCTTTTTTTTTTTCGTCTATTATTCTTGCTCTTGTATCATTGGTTTCGTTATGTCGAATGTCTTATAAATTAGGGATAAGAGCGATTCAATTAATTACATTTGTTCGTATGTTAAGTTACGACCCAGCTATGTTTTGTGGTTAACCTAATTTGTCAACACATAACTAAAGTTTAGTCAAATCGTAATAGATTAAACTAATGTATTATGAATCTTTCGGACTTCATAAAAAAAATAAAATTTCTCCAAAGATTTTCTTCCAATTGAGTTAAGTGGGACGCTTTTACATAATCCTGTAGATGGAAAGCCCCAAAGACTCACCACATAACCATACAAGATTCAGAAATAAGAAAGATAAATTTACTTAGAAGTTTCACCCTATCATCTCACATGAAATCTTAGTGAATCTTGCAGGTAGGATATACCAGTTGTGTCTCATTCAATTGATGGGTTGGACTTTTGGCTACTTGACAACAAAAGCTGAACCCACCATTGTTGTTGGCCAAAAAGCAGATTTTGGTATTCTGGTGGGGATGAAGTTTTATGTGGACTCAATTCTTTAGTTCCAAACATACAAAAGAAACAAAATCTCTGCTGACAAATTCTGGTTGGGGGAAAGAATGAGGTTGTTAAGAATGATTACTATTTTGTACTGTACTAGTCTTTTATACGTGTTGAATTTATATCCTCATCCGTGTATATCATCTATCCTACCAGAAATAAGATGGGTCCATGTATATATACATGTAATGTGATCATGGAGTTGTATCTCTGCCAAAACCAGCAATGCAAAACGTCTTTGTTAACTGTGGCTTCTTTGCAATCTTCCATATTTGCACGAATTTTTTATTTCTTAGCTCCAAAAGGTTCACGTGGAATTCGGGTATTCGAAAGTTTAAATTCAAGTTATTAGTAACGCATGACTTAAACCATTATGTAGAATTTTTATATAATCTTTTTCATATGCAATTAGAGTATCACATGATAATCTAAAGTTAAAATTATGTATACTTATCTAGATATACATATTTCAGAAACTTTCTAACATACCCATATGAGAAATATTGGTAATATAAGATTTCTTATAATAAAACTTTCTTCTAATTGAACTAGTAGGGACCTAGTTAGAGATTTGGATTATGAACTTAGTGAGCTGCATCAGATAATTAGAATTATAAATAGTTAGGACTTATTGACCTGCACAGGATTTTCAATGCCCACAGAAAGAAAAGAAAAAGCAGTGCATGATTAGAATCATCATTTGATTGGAAGGGTGAAATAATTCCTTTGCAGTTGATGTACATTATTGATGTAGTTGAGAATCTATTTAATGAGATGCTAAGAAACTAACAAATTATATATATATATATATATATATACATATAAATAGTAGTAATCTGCTGTATTATTCCTAGCCTGGGAAATCATGTTTCAAGTTTTTTTTTTTTCCACATGATGTGTGGGTCTGATTACTTCATCATCTTCATCTAAGAGTCTTCGTATACAAACACTGCCAAGTGTTCTTGGCAATCACCAAAATGTCCCATTCACCATTTCAATGATAACCCAAAAAAGTTATCATCATATCCTCATAATCAACTTAAAAAGAAACTTTAGTCCACTTTTAAAAGGGTTATTTTTCATTTGATGAGAGAAAAATTATGGCTTCAAATGCCAGTTTGGCCACAAGCCCATGGCCCTACTACTCTCAACATCACTCCCACTTCACATTTATAAAGGCCTACTTATATAGTGTATATATTAATATTATTACTTCTCAATATTAAGCCAACCCAGCTGAGCAACCTCTGCAAGCAAATTCTTCTTATTTCCTTTTTCAATTTCTTGTCATCTAATCTCAGCCTAGAAGGGTTTTGTTCACGTTCTGTTTATTATCAGAAAAGGGTAAACCTCAAATATCATTCTACTTCCCTGGTCTTTTTCATCTTCTTCTTTTGTACTTTTCTAGTCTGTATTACACATTTTCTTTTGTGTCATTTTCTCCGCAAATAGCTTCATGGCTATGGTTACCTTAACATCACCAACTTATAATCCTAATCTCCAAAGAACTTTGTCTCTTGATTCCAAGAACAACAATCTCCGGGATGCTTCTTTTTCTTCCTACTTAAACAAGGGAGAGGAGATTTTTGTGCGGAAACTTGCAGAACCAAGTCGGAATTTGAACTCCGTGGTTAACTCAAGAGAGGAGCAGGCAGGAAAGAAGGAAGAAGATGAAGAAATTGGAGTATTTGGAGCAGAAAGGTACTTCAATGGTGGGATCGAAGATACTAGTCCAAGAATTACCAAAATAGATCCAAAGATTTATCAATATATGAAAGATGGGAAGGTTGGTCCAGGGCATGTAAGGCCAAAAATGCAGCTGGGAACTCCTAGTCTTCTTTCTGAATCAAGCTGGAACAGCCAAAGTGCATTGCTTAAGAACAGTGTGGTTCGGAACCCGCCTCGAAGGAAGACAAAGAAAGGGAATGGGAAGAGTTTTCTGACTATTCTTGGCTGCAAATACTGCTATTGTTCAGATAAGGAGTCTGTTGACATTGATGATGAACATGTTGGAGAGCTTAGTTTCAATAGAAGTGCTAATTCTGTTCAAGTTCCAGGCAAGGCAGCAAGCAGAGAAGCACCCATCAAAACAAGCCTAGACCTAGTTCATGTTAATGGGACAGTATCTACAGATCCTGGATTGAGCAAAGACAACTGCTTTAGTTTTCCAACAATGAAGTCTGAGGTGGGTATTCATCGAAATCTACCGATCAAAACAAAGTTCCAAGATTTCGAAGAAATTCCAAGAAAGTCACTAGAGGTCTTTGGATCACCTGCTCTTCAAAAGAGAAACAAGGGTTTAAGCCTAGAGACAAGGAAGTTAACAATGTTGTCCTGGAACGGTACTCCAAGAATGGATCAAGAACAAGAATTCTCAACCATATCTGCAAACCACAACGATGCAGATAGCGATGCAAGTTCAGATTTATTCGAAATCGACAGCCTAACTGGCAAACCAAACCCTTTTCTTGCAAGACAAACGTCAGATGCAACATCTGGTTGTGTTACCCCAACAACAGGTTATGCGCCGAGTGAGGCCAGCATAGAATGGAGTGTTGTTACTGCCAGTGCTGCAGATTTCTCATCTGTCATATCAGATTTCGAAGAGCTAAGATCATCAAGGGCCATAACTAGCCCTGTTCGAAACGTTTCTTCAAACAAGAATCTGAAAGCCAGAGCCAATAAAGACATGATCCATAAGCACAAACCCAGTAGCCTTCTGGGATGTAAGAGTCAGAAAGCTGTTAGAGTTGCTGGAGATGCTCATAGAAAAAATCAGAAACCAAATTATGAACCTTCTCAGAAACCAAGGTTTCCAGCTGAGTCTAAATTGACAAGTTTTGATCCTCGAAATGGAATTGCCGCTCTTTCGATCCAGAGATCACACTCGCCGTGTGCTTCCCATCTTTTGTACATTCAATAGTCAAGATCAAGAATTATCATATATGTTCCTGTTATAATATAATCTCTTGTATCAAGCATGTTAAGACATAATGCTTCTAGTACCAGAAGGGATTTGCATAAACTTCTTTCTCATTACTTTTTTCAATCTTGTAGGACAAAAACAGTCCACATGGACAATATGACCCATCCCATTGTTTTTTATTCCAGTGTTATCTTGTCTTATATTGGATCTATGAAGATATAGTCAATTCTGTATGTTAGTATGATTTTAATAAAAAGGCTTGGAGTATAAACCAAAATCAGCCATGCTCAGAAGATTTTCTTGGCTTAAATCTCTCATAGTTGAAGATTTTGTACCTTTTTTTCATTGATATTTTCTGTAAAAAGTACTTGCAGAGATAGTGAAAGAAGGTTACTACATTAAATTGTGGGCTTATAAAAAAAAAAAAAAAAAGCAAACAAAAAATCACCCACTTTTTAAATATCTAATCAAATTATTTTACACCTCGAACTTGAACGCAACAGTTTACTCGTTAAGATTTTAAAGAGTTCCAGTAAAGATCACGAATCTGAATCTCGTAAAGTTTAATATCCAAAAAGGACACAATTAATTTCCCAAGCAGCATTGATATTAATTTGGGATTGGGTGAAGAGGGTTTTCAATTAGCTAAAATTCAGAGGATATGCAAATCTTTAGAGCAAGGAATGTCTTGGTTTCTATAATTAATAGCCTTATCAACTTCCCTTTCTCCATTAAATCACCAGCTACCTTATTTATAATGAGCTGGTCCAAGATAACTTCTCCATATAATTTTTATTCATTCTTTTTTTTTTTTTTTCTTTTGCTTTTTCAAATTCTTTGTTGAATCATTTATAATTCTTAATGGAATGATTGTGACCTTGTCCACTAAGATCCATTTTCTATGATATATACATATAAATATATATATATATATATGTATATGTATTCCTAGTATTATCTAAAAATCGTTCTTGATTTTCTTTATATTTTCCTATAAAGTAAATTATGAGGAGCCCAGTTTTTGCAGCCAGCAGTTTCCTGATTTTTTTTAATAATTCAATTAATTATTTTTCACCAAATACAGTTTTTATTTCTTTTAAAAGTAATAGTATATTACATAATTGAAATTGAAAAATTATTTCGTCAACTTTACATTTTTTCTAATATAATATTAAGTTTTTATACTAATTAATATAATATTAAATACTTTTATAGTTAAAAAAATTAAATTTAAATATTTTTTTTTATATTTTTAAGCTATTTATAGGGAATAAGTGCGAAGAAAAAGATACATATTATAGATACGAGCAAGTATGAGTAATATGTATATCCACCTATATACGCATATTCTCTATTCTATTTG